AAAGGTCGTATATCACGTTATCTTGCTAATAAATGTGCCATTGCATCACGAATTGATTGTTTTTCTGGTTTGTTAATTTTTTTGTTGTGTAATAAAATATATTTTTATTATAATTTCTATTTAAAAGAAATTCCAACGGCTATATTTGGTGATCGTTTAAAACAACAAGTATCAGATCGATTAAAATTTTATGATAGTGGAGAATTACCAGCTAAAAATGTTGATGTTATGCAATTAGCTTTACAAGAAGCTGAAGTTGAACGTGAACAAATTTTATTAAAAGAAAAAAAACGAAAGAAAAAAGAAAAAAAACGTCGTAAAGAAGCTGAAGCAGCACACAATGATAATCATACAAATGGAAACACTACACTTGAAGAAGCAGTTAACAATATGGAAGTTGCTTAAAGTTCTTTGTTGTGATTATCTTTTGTTTACTTCCGATTTGTTATTATTTGTTTTGACAAATAGAAACTTCTTGTTACGAAAAAAGAAAAATTAATTGTTTAGTACAACTTTGTTTTTTTCATTTGTTGTAGATTTGAAAAAAACAAACAAACAAACAAACAAGAGATAATGACATCAAGAAAACAAACACCAAGTGATTTTCTTAAACAAATAATTGGTCGACCAGTTGTTGTTAAACTTAACAGTGGTATTGGTAAGAACGTTTGATTAATATTGATCATATTCAGTTTTTACTATAATTAGATGATTGTTCTTCGAGCAATTTTTAAATTAGTCACATGAGAAAACGCTATAATAAAACTATGTACGAAATGAAATAGGAAGTTTATTTATGAGATGAAAATCTTAATAACTTAGAAGAATATATATTTACTATGCAGTCATGGTAATATATTTTACCTTTTCTTTAAAAATATGATTTGTTATTTATTGATGTCAGATATTTCTATATTTAATTCTGTTGATCCTTTTTAAATAATTCTTTCGCTAATGTTCTTAAAGTTGTAAAAGAGAAAATGATGACGTTTTACTCAAGGATGAATTCTCCTTCATTCTACTTTGAGTTTCTATTCGACGTCAAAATACGCCTACTTTTCATCAATCGCACCTGCCAACGACAACGTGTGTAGATTATTATTTTTTCGTATATAGGAGTATTTTAAGTGTAGTTAAATGAAAACAGACAAATGTCTTTAGAGGAAGGCAAAGCAGCTATGTATACTGAAACAATATGACTATACAGAATATTTTATTGATTTGATACAGTACATATTTATCTGTCAAGAATAGTCAACAAAAAAAAAAAGAAAATATTAACATTTTGAAAATATTCTGCTTTTACTTAAGAACGCTTTGAACAAATTTGATGAATTAATTGAAAAGGCCATTTTAAGTCTTGTCATATTACAAAAGCATAAATATCAAATCAAGAAATAATAGGAATAAATCAACAATTCATGTATGATAATCGATAAGAATATCTGAACAGTAACTTAGCAAAAATGAATCAGTAAACTGGATCAATAAACGTGTAATGAACACAACAGTCATCATCTATACTTAGGGTAGATTGTACGTAATCAAAATCATTAGAAATAAAAACAGTTTCCTGTCATGCAGCGGAAAAGAGACTGCACTTGTTCTCTTAACACCTAGATTTTCCGCTCGAAAATCGAAGTTTTTATTGGAAATTAAAAAAAATAACAGACGAAAGATTTTTATATTAGAAGCAGCTTTTATGAGCTCTTAGATTAGTTAGTCTAGAGCATGAGAGATAAGAAATTCACAACAAATGTCTGTGCCTAAGAGGTGGGCAGGCTAGGTAGGACCTGCTTAAATTTCTGGTTTCTTGTTCTCAAATTAAAGGCTTGCTTCCTCTATCAAACTTAAATTGAATAGATTCAATTTGACTTGAATCGGAGATGTTGATAAAGTGACCTTGTTTTGTCGAGTAGAACAGAATAAACTTGTTCTACAGTCGCCTTGTCTGACATGAGTGAAATTTCAGTCAGTACATTTACATTAACAAAAAAAAGTGCATTCCTAAGTTACGCTTCGAAATAAATCCAATAAAATGCTTTCATTCTTTTCTTTTTCACACATACTTCAAATCTTATTTTAATTATGTTTAGATTATCGTGGTGTATTGGCATGTCTTGATGGTTATATGAATATTGCATTAGAACAAACAGAAGAATACAATGGTGGACAACTTAAAAACAAATATGGCGATGCATTTATTCGAGGAAATAATGTTTTATATATATCAACTCAACGAAAGAAATGAATTTTTTTAAAGATTGTATAAATAAAAAAATCAAATGTTTAAACCAATATAAAGAAAAAAAACGAGACTGAGATAATAAACAACAAAAAACAATCAAATATGAATTCATCATGGATAGATTTTTTTTTCTCTTTTCACTTTTTGTCTTAAACAAGATTGTTCGATGGATTTGTATTCCAACGAGTACATGGTAATTGATTTTGTTCGCTCATTCGTACAAATGTATAAGAAAATAAACCGAATAATGTAAGTAAAATACCAATAAATTGTTTAAAATTAAGACTATCCTCAAAAAGAAGAAAACCACCAACAAGAATCGATATGGTTTTCATATGACCAATCATATTATAAGTCAATGCTGATCTAAATACAAATATATAGATGAAACTTTAATTTGAGTGTAAGTAAAAAAATAAAGAGAAAAACGTTATTTAGTACATTTATTCACATTACTGACGAATATAGCTTACGACTTTTCGTTCTAGTTATGAACGATTACAAAAAATATTATTTACTCAAAGTTGAGTTATTGTTTAAAAATAATTTGAGAAGAAAAGTTTTAGAATATGTTTTACTAATAAAAAATTTATCTCTTAACTGGGATCGGTTTGACTTTATGGCTAGTATAATCAGGTCAAACGTATCGACATTTTTAGAGTACATCAAAATTGACTAATTTAGTTTTAAGAGACTTCAAAAATATTCATCCATTTCGATATAAACACTTTCAGAAAAAGACAATCGATGATAGTTATCACATAGGAACAAGTCAATTTTACTTACGTATTTTTAATAACCCAATAAACTGATAAATTAACAACAAATGCAACAATACTCGAAGCTACAACAGCCATTATTGCTCGTCGTTGTTCTTCACTTGTTTCATACGATGGAAAACTTTCCATAGATAATATAAACGGTACAAGTATTATTGCTGATAATGGTGCTTGATAATAAAGTAATTGTTGAGAACTCATTTCTAAATCTTTTAAACGTTCACCAACCCATACTTGATAAAGTGATGCTGCTATAACACCAATCGATGCTATTATTGTACCCATTAATGTTAATTTAATATCATTAACTGAATGTGTACATACACCAACAACAACTGGTATTAATGTAGCTATAACCATACGTGAATATTTTGTTTTATAATATTGCCATGTTATAAGTGCAACAACAGGTGTTGTTAAAACTTTAAATAACTGATATGTACCTATTGTATTATATTCTAATGATAAATTTGTAAATACAACAAAAGCACAAAATGCTAGTGCTAATGGTAAAACTTTTATTATTGATACTGATTTACGTATAAATGTATTCATTTGTAAACATATAACAAGACCTAATGATGTAAATGCCATTTGTATAGCCGTTAATGTCATCGTTTTTATTTGACAATGAGAAAATATATATTTATTAAGAAATATAATACCGATAGATGATAAAATATTCGATGCACAACCTGCTACAACACGAATATGTTCTTGGATCATATTGTTTGATGTTGATGACATTCTTTGTTTATGTGATGGATATGATGAGGTTGGATCGATATTAATCTATAGAAAAATTCAATAACAGTAGAATATTATTTTGATGATTCAAAAAAAAAAGAAAAACAAAATTCTTTAGAAAAACGTGCATACAAGAGATGCTGTTGTTTCATCATCATTCATGTTTTTATCATTGTTATTAAGTGAATGATCAGTGTTGGTTGACATTGTGTGTATTGAATGTTAAAATAGTTCAAATGTTCAAATCAAACAACATCTACAAACATTTAAAAGAAGCAAAGCATTAGAGCAACTTGAATGGGTTATTTTTTGTAATGTAACAAAGTGAAAGTTATGAATGAAAACTGTAAGTTTAGAATAAGAACAAGAAAAAGGTGAAGAAAAAAAAAGCAATACAATATATTTTTTTCTTCGTTCATGCACATCGAAGAAAGAAAAAAATGAAAGAGAAAGAACGCTTGTAAAATAAGAAGAAAAAAAAAAGAGTAAAGATCTGTAGCTCACTAAGGAAATATAATAAAAACACAAACGTGTATATAGAGAAAAATGCACCTGGTAAAAGAAATGATACTTGTACATTTTTTGAAGCAAATTTCCCACTGACTCATCTATTGCTTTTTATTATCTATCGTGACATAGTACGCTCATTGCTAAAGTGTGTATGTGGAAAGACAGATTGAATTGCACAGAGCGGGAAGAAAAAAAAAGAAGTATGGCTTGGTTGTCAGTGGGCTTTTCGTAACTAGCGACTTGTGCATAAGTATACTGAAGCGAGAAAAAAAAGCGAACAAACAGTGACAAGAAAAAAAGAGAAAATATGTGATGTCAAAGCATAGAGAAAGAACGTTTTTTTTGCTACACGGTAGTTGCTTGGCTTGAATGACTATTTGAAATAGAATAAAGAAAAGGAAGAAAAAAAAAATTTTTTATTGTCCGAAGAAAAGTAATAAATTGTAATCATATATTTGCAATGAACTAGATTTTGGTTTATAAAGATATTTGAAAAATTCTAATTATATTCTATTCGATAACATTAAAAAAAAATAGTATTATGAGATATCTTATTGTCAAAAACTTATTAATATTAAAACAAGACGAAAAGCCATATTTAATATCGATTCATTTTGATTAAATATTTATTTTTTATTAAACTCAACATCATGATAGAATCAAAGTTAATTAGAAAGAAAAATGATTCATAAAGATCGAACATAAGAAAAAAAATCATGAATTGTATTTCATTATCGAAATCAATTCGAATTCTTTATATTCCACCATATTATGAAAATAATTTTCAATTAGCATTGGATAGATTAATAACACATGACAAACATGTCGAATATCAAATATATACTATTAATAAAAAAATTACGACAATAGATTTTAATTTTTTATTATCAATGTGTAGAAATCTAATTAATGACGAACATATACAAATGCTTATTAGTGATAGTTATATAGGTCAATTAATAGTAGCTAAATTATGTCAAGAATATCCACAAATACACAATGGTGGAATGAATCTTATTCATACACTTCAATGTATAAATCGATTTTTAATAATAGAATTATTTGGTATGGATGAATGTATACCAACATTATGTATTGATATAACAGATGATTGGAAAAGAAATTTTCAAATTGTAGAAACATTTTTATCAAATAATAATATTGACGGTTATATGAAATCATTATATACTTTTGATAATCACTTGTCTAGTTTACGTTTTTCAAATTGGAAAAATCATATGGAGATTATTGATACTTATATTGAACGTTATAAACAACAATATATGACAAGTCTTTTGCCATTTTTTCGTGTTTATATATCAATAAAACAATATCCATTGATATTTAAACCAAGTTATATTATTCAACCTTTTTTTGATCTTGTTACATATCCATATTGGCGTGTTGTTATTGCTAGCGCATGCATATATGAAAAAGAAATTATTATGTGGCCTCTTGTTGATGGTTATTCTGGATGGTAAAATTTCTATATTTATTCTATTATTTTCAATTCAAATAATTTGTTAGAAAAGAAAAAAAATCCTAGTAAAAAAAAAATGACAAGAAAACTATCTTTTCGTACGAAGGATACTTTTTTCTATAAAAGCTTATAACGATTGATTAATTCCTTGAGAACTGAAGACCTATATATATATGTGGGTTTGGCTTTGAACAAGCTTCTAATTAATTTATGCATATCTCTTATGATCTACGGTGATAGAAAGATCGTCAATCTATTATACAGCTAGTAAATATATAAAGCAAAAAAAAATAGAATTGTCATCATCTTAAAAAAAATTTCTTTATTTTCAACAAAAACTACATTCTTCTTATTTATCAATAGTTTCAACAACATCATCAATTACTTTTTCTCATTCGATTACAACTGAGTCAACGCAATCTCATCAATTTTAGTTAACATTTTTTTTCTTCAATTACCGAGATTACTACTTTAATGTCACATACAAATATAAATACATCCGGACGTTTCAAATTTTATTTTTTGAAACAATAACTATTGACACAGACTGTTATTAAAAATGTAAAAGCAAACACAAGTTTATGTTGAAAAGTTATTGGTTTTCCAACTAAAAAAAAACTGAAAATACTAATGATTATAAGAGGATTGAAAGTTTTGCAAGTTATTAAATATGTTAACAAACACCTAGTTACATATTAACTACTGATAGTCGAAATATGCTTGTTTATTTATAGGTAAAAAACTTATCCAAGACAATGAGATGAATTGTTCATGAGCAGGTCATTCTTTAAGAAAGAAAACCGTAGACTATGTTGATTTTCTTCAATCCAGTCTATTGGAACCTCTCAGATCTATATTCAGCCATACCCTCGAGATTATCATACTCTAAAATATATTCTTACATGGCTTCGAAAATTTCTTTTGCTTTTTTTAGAAGTAAACCTCATCTTCAAGAAGTTAAAATCAATACACATTTAAAACTATTGAGTATTCATTATTATTTTTTTCATAGGCCATTTTTGGCTGAAAAGCCATTAGCAATTATGCCTATCATTGTTTGTCCAAGTCGACAAATTTCAAATGAACAACAAAGTTTAATTTATACTCGTTTTCGACAACATCTGAATCATCTTATAACAAATTATCATCTTTGTTATGGTTGGATTCAATGTTCTTATTTTATATCATGTACAAATGAAATTCGTCTAATATCAATTAAACCAACTTATTCTATTTATCTAACTGAAGCATTTAATTCAACAAATCAATATGGAAATCCACTAGTAGCTCTTGTTCAATTATCAAATCGTCAACGACCTCAAACACCTATTCTCAATGGTAAAACTGTTTATATTCATCGATTATGGATGAATATTCAAGAAAAACATTGTATTAATGATTTAATTAATATGAAAGAAATTAAAAGAATTCATCGATCAAATATTTCTATAAATCCTTATGTTCGATTACGTTATCAAGACAATGATATAATTAATAATAATAACGAACAAAATTTTATTGAAATTGGTTTTATTCAAGTTAATGGAGAATATTATGAAATAGGTTTAACAAATTTAATTGACTTTCGTTATACATTATTAAAAAAACCTGAACTATTTCCATTTGTTCATCATTCAATGTTATCTAATAATCAATATCAATTTGATCCTATAACATGTTTACCATCTAATAAATTACTTGAACAATTAGAAAAACTTCAAAGACAAGAAGAAAAAGATTTGATTTAAACAAGTCGATATAATATATAAGATAGTTTCATGCATATATGATTAATTGAATAAAAAGAAGAAAAAAAAAAAAAAGGATAAATCAACATGCATTTTAAGAGACGTAGGTATATTCTACAACATACAGTACCAGTAAAAAAATTACACCGGCATATTTTTGATTTGATTTCTATGATACCAAACATTTCAATCAAATTCAAATATTGATCTGAATAACGAATGAACTTCTCTATAAAATTCATTTCATATTGAAATTTCATGTATGAACTATTAGAGGAAGATTTCTGCAAAGCCAAACACAGTAGTTTTCAAGATTATAAAGACGATGTAAAAATTAGTTGTTAAGAATATCATCTTAAAGAGCACAAAGTCATGAATACAATGACGAACTATCGCATCTTCTACGATCTTCTCTTAAAAAATTATAAGAATTTAAAAAAACAAAACAAAAATCTACCATAACATTGCTGAAAAGACACATTTTTTTTGTTTTTTTATGATGCTTATAACTTTTTAAGAGAAAATCATAATAAATGCAGCAAATTGTCGTTTTATACAAGACTCTGTACTCTTTAGAATGATTTTCTTAGAAAGTAATTTTTACATAGTCTTATAATGTCTAAAAACTATCAGTTTTGGTTTTTGATAAGCTTTCTCCTGTAGTCCATCTATCAATTTCGGGTATACAATGGATCTAACAGGAAACTTCATTGGCTATTCAAATCACTATTCGGATTTGACTTAAATATTTGGTTGTTATTAGAGGCAAAAATATGTTTGTCTTAAATTTTTACAAACACTGTATAGATAAACGTCTAATCTCATGTTTTTTTAAACGTAAAGCATTTCTCTATTTACCGGAAAGAATAATGTAGAATTCGTTGTTTTTTTACATCTTAAGTTTACTAAATTTATCTAAAATTAAGAATTTATATTTCAATAATGTTTCGAACATTCTTAACTTGAGTCAAAAAAGATTATACAAGATGGCTCAAAAGATCACTGAGTAATTTTTCATTGCGAATAAATTTATATAGAAACAAGAAAGAGAGTTTCGATTTTCATTGTTGAAAAGAGAAGACTTACAGACGTCGAACCATATAATAAACATAATATTTAAAAACGTTTCTAGGAGAACTCTGAAAAATTAAGAGGAAATAAATTGATATACTTAGAATTTAAAGTGCTATGGAAACTGCATAATTCTCGTTCAATTGTTTTTAAATATTTTGTTTCGATAACCTGAAGTCTCCTTTTTTTTCAACAGTAAAAATCGCATATCTCTCTCCCTCTCTATTATTTCTATCAAAATTTACTCGGTGACTTTTGAATCGTCCTATATAGATTGAGAAAACTTTTCTTTGAAATGGAAATTGAACGTTTATTTGTTTGAAATAAATTTGTTTACAAAAAAAGCAAAAGAAACGGAAGTTTTTATGTGAAGAAGCATAAAGGAAGAAAGTGAAACGTAAACAAATAAAATAAATTTATATAGAACTATAATCAGTTAATTAAAAACTGTGTTTTTTTTTGTTGTTTTGTTTGTTGTTTCATTGTAAATTTGATATCATAAAAGGAAGAGAAGAAAACATTGAAAAGAAGGAGCGAAGCAAAAATTATCGAAGACAAAGACAAAACAAAGAAAAACAAGACATTATAGAATATTTTTATCTTTGGGAGATATATATCTCCAATGGCAAAATTATCGAATGGAAAACTATCACCGGACGGTGTAGAAATAAGAAAAGAAAATAAACTTTACTAAAGTTTAATTATCAAGTTGACATATCATGGCTACACCACGTCCAATCCAATGTTCTTCTGGTTTATCAGATGGAATTTTCATTGCAATCACAAAATTTGTACTATGTCCTGTTGTTGATAAAACACCACGTCGTTCTGTTGTTTTATAAACAGGTGCTGTATAAGATGGTATCTGTTGTAATTCATCACGTTTAGCTGGACAAATCCATATTACAGGCATTGTATCAAATAATACTTTTGGTTGCGACTCAGCAAGTTTACGTGTTTTTCTATCATATCGAGCACCTTCAAGAAATAAACCTTTTATATAAGCTCCTAAAATAGATTATATATTTATATCAATTTGATGAAAATCTTATTAAATAAATAGATTATGTTTACCATCGTCCGGTGCTTTACTAGGTTCTTTATCATCCATAACTTCATAATTAAATGCAAGAAGATCAATAGGTATTGTATATTTTCGAGCATAATTTTGTTGAACACCGGTGAGAAAAGCTTGTGTAAAGAAGAATCCACTAATCCATAAACAACTAGGTACACCTTGGTCATACCAATCCTAATATAAAAATAAAATTAAGAAATATGATTAATACCTATTATTTCTACTTAGTTTAATAAAAAAGAAAAAAAAAGAAAGAAGAACAGAAAAAAACTGGTTCTTTTTTTTTTAGTTGAAAGACATAAGAATATTGTTTTTATATTTAATATAATTTCATAGAATTTTCAAATAATCGTGCTAAATCTTCATGTGTATGTGTTAATGGTGCTAATTTTGTTACACGTTGTTGTGGTATTGTTGCTTTAACTAATGCTGGTATATCATCATTCGTATAGCCAAGAGCTTTTAAACCATCATCAACATGAACATCATATAAAAATTGACGTAATATATCAGCTAATATTTTACCAGCATCTTTATGTGAATGATTAAGAAATTTATTATTTGTTTCTCCACCTGTTGCTAATATTGATGCAACTTCTAAATGACGTTCCGGACATGCTGGTGCTGTAAATTGAAAAACAGCTGGTGAAGTCATTACAACTGATAGACCATGTGGAATAATTGGATGATCTGTTGGATAATCTTTTGCATGATATGAACGTACATTACCCGCTATACCATATGACATACCATGACAAAGATGAACACCAGCATTACCAAAACCAATACCAGCCATAGTTGATGCTAAATGCATTTGTTCACGTGCTTCATGATCATCATGTTGATTTTCTATTGCACGTTTAAGATATTTAGCAACAGTACGTAATGCTTGTATTGACCATATATCACTTATAGGATTTGAACCTTGATATGTTGGTCGTTCAATAGGATCACGTGGTCTTGGTGTACGTTGATTAAATGGTATAGCTGTATAAGATTCAATAGCATGACAAAGTACATCAAAACCAGAATTAGCTGCGACACGTGATGGCATTGTTTTAACAAAATCTGGATCAATTAAACCAAGTGTTGGTCTCATTGATCGATGAGCAATACCAGTTTTAGCATGTAATTCTTCAAAATCAAATATAGCTACACCTGTTGTTTCACTACCAGTACCAGCTGTTGTTGGTACTGCAATACATGGTTTAAGTGCATGTCGTACAGGTAGACCTTTACCAATTGGTGTATTAACATAATCAAGAAAATTTGTTGATTCTTTATTAGGTGATGATGCAAATAGATTAGCTGCTTTACATGTATCCATAACTGAACCACCACCAACAGCAACATAACCGTCATATTGTCCTTGACATGCAAAATCTATAGCACGTTTAAAACTTGTATCTGTTGGTTCAATACGTATTTTATCAAAAATATTATATTTTATTTTTTTTGTTTCTAATGAACGAAGAACATTTTCAAATGATTTTAATTGTCGTATACGTTCATCAGTAAATAAAGCAATATTTGAACAATTTAAATTTTGAAGATCACATCCAAGTTCAGCAATAACACCAGGACCAAATCGTACTGTTGAACATGCCATTTCAAAAGCATAATCACTTTTAAGTCCACCTCCATGACTTGGACAACATTGATTTGTATGTTGAATTGCACCAAGTAACGACAAAACACGTGATCGCGATGCTACTGACAACATTTCTTTTTTTCTTGTTATTCTTACTATTTCGTTTCTACCCTTTCTATCGTCTATACTCTCCTCTTTTATACTACAGTGACATATCTCGTTAGAAGCGCATATGAGAAAAAGAAAAGAAAAGAAAAGAAAAAGAATACGAAGAAAAAAAAATATAGACTTTTATTGTTTCTTACCTGAAGAAATTTTAGTCGAGCAATAAAATCTAGTACATATGAGCCAAGTGGTTTCAATCTAAAATGAAAAAAATAATGTAGAAATCAAAAAAGACGACATAACATGATTTTCTCATTGACATAGAGCATGAAATGCAAACTTTCTAGTCTATGTCTCTCAATTTTTTCTCTCTTCTCGAATTTCAAGGAAAACTTACGATGGATAAGATTTCTTTTTCCATGTTGCAGGTATTTTCGATTTAAGTACTGACATAAATACTTCTTCTAAATCAGCTGACATAACAACAAGACCTTTAATTGCTTTTTGTACATCAATTAATGATTGACGAACAGTTGATAAAAGTCGATTGAATCGACCCATTTCTTGTACAAGTACAGTATTCATACCTAACAATAAGAAAAATATAAGTATATATATATATATGAACTTCTGCTCAAAACTCATTTTCCTATCAGAAATTATGCTTTTTTCAGTTTTCTTTTTTCAATATCATTTTATTAAGAAAGACGTTTGAGTTTCAAGATCAAACTTTATTTCGTATTTTCGAGAGAGAATTTCATCAAAAGTAAAACAAAACATTATTTTGAAATATTGTGCTCTGTTAAGTTGTAGCAATAGGTCGTAGCTGGATTTTAAAATCAACTCAAAAACTGTATGATTAGATTTTTAGGAGACATAGCTTTTTTATGTTGAGACAAAAAATAGGTTTGTAATGGAGGAGGAAGATGAGTCTTAAAAAGAGAGAGTACTATACTTTGTTTATATTCAGTTGGATATTTTCGCATAGCCATTTCGATATTATAATTTGGTGGTAATTTTCCAAGAATTTCAGCAGCTACTTCACTAACAAGATCATCTGGTGTCTTGCCAACACTACCTGTAGATCCTTTTGCCTAGAAAAAAATCAAGCAAAACAAAATGAATAACAACATATATATATATATAAAATAAATA